AATACCATTTCGATAACATATACAAAGTCCATACAGCTCATTAGCATTTCCCTCTGCCGATTTCAAATACCATTCAAAAGCTTTTTTCACATTTCTTTGCGTCTCAATGCTGATTTCAAAACCCACTTAAAGGCTTTGCATTTATTATAATGCGTGCCAACTCCATTGTAATAGCAAATCCGAGTAAATATTGAGCAATCGCATTATCATTCTTTGTTGCTATTTTATAAAATTTAAAAGCAATTTCAAAATTCAGCTCAATTTTTATCCAAAAAAACAATACAATACATTATATGTAATATTCGACTCTGAGATTTACAGTAGATTTTTACATTCAAGCGCGCTTTCTGCTAATTCATCAATAATCCTTCGCAGTTTCATATAAATTCTGCGATGAATGAATCATTTTTACAAAGGAAATAAATATTTCTTTGATAACTGGATCATTCTCGTTTTTATCAAAATTTAGTAGTTTTGTGTTGTTTGGTTTTGCAGGAAACATAGAAACGCTTTAGAATAAAGTCTCTTGTACTCAACAATCATTGTTAACGTTAACGTTAATGTTTTCGGATTTTTACTTCCGAAATCGTTACACAAGGATATCATATTGCCTTTTTTATACCAATAATAAAGTGCATACCGATTATCGTTATCTAAACTAACTTTAACGTTAATAGCGATAGATTATATTTTACTTCATTAAGAAAATTTAATCCGTGAATATGATAGAATAAACCTTTCTTGATCATATTCACGGATCAAAATTTATATTTACTTCGTAATTAAGATGTTTATTAGATTTATAAAATATAATCTATTGGCAAGTTTAGATCTTATGTATTCAAATCGAACGTTTATTATATTTTCCTAATATAACTGTAAAGAGTCAGGTCAGGTATTATATACGTACGCGTTTGATAATGTTAAATATTGATGGTAAATTCAATATCTAATATCTCGTATTATAAAAAAAGGTTAAATACCTAGACCACATAAACAAAACAAATATAAAGAATAATCATAAAATGAATAAATTTATAAAAAATAAAAGGTTAATGTGTTAACGTTAACATAAAATATCTAGATTATAAAGCGAATATTTTATTTTCAATACGCTCCCTTGCTAGCATATAATCGTTTTGATAAGCATTTTTGTACCATTTCAACGACATAAAAAGATCTTTTGATACTCCAAATCCGTATTGATAGCTTTCCGCCAAATTGAATTGCGCAAACTTATACCCAGATTTAGCAGATTTCAAATACCACTCAAAAGCTTGTTTGTCATCTTTTCGTGTCCCAATACCCTTTCGATAACATACACCAATACTATACTGCCCATTAGCATGTCCCCCCTCTGCCGATTTCAAATCTCACTCGAAAGCTAATTTCCTATCTCTTTGCGTACCAACACCTTTTTGATAACAAATACCGAGATTAACTTGCCCTTTAGCATTTCCACCTTCTGCTGATTTCAAATACCACTCGAATGCTTTTTTTTCATCTCTTTGTGTTCCGACTCCATTTTCATAACACAAACCAAGATTATACTGCCCTTTAGTATTTTCACTTTCTGCTGATTTTAGATACCACTCGAATGCTTTTTTCTCGTCTTTTTGTGTTCCTACACCATTTCGATAACACCGACCAAGATTAAATTGTCCTTTAACTTCTCCACCTCTGCCGATTTCAAATAACACTCAAAAGCTTTTTTGTAATCTTTTCGCGTCCCAATACCATTTTTATAGCATAAACCAAGCCTAAACTGCCCTTTAGCATCTCCACCCTCTGCTGATTTCAAATAGCACTCAAAAGCTTTTTTGTCATCTTTTAGCGTCCCAATACCATTTTATAGCATAAACCAAGCCTATACTGCCCTTTAGTATCTCCACCCTCTGCTGATTTCAATTACCAATCGAACGCTTTTTTCTCATCTCTTTGTGTTCTGATTCCATTTTCATAACAAAAACCAAGATCAGCTTGTCCCCTTACATCTCCCCCCTCTGCCAACTTCAAATACCACTCAAAAGATTTTTTCTCATTTTTTTGCAGAAACTAAGATTATACTGTCCTCTAGCATTGCCCCTCTCTGCTGATTTTAAAAGCCTTGCTTTTGTTACTATGTATACCAACTCCACTATAGTAGCAAAATCCGAGTAAATATTGAGCAATTGCACTATTGTTCTTTGCCGGTTTTTTATAAAATTTAAAAGCAATTTTAGAATTCTGTTCAACTTTGATCCCATAATGATGTAAAAAAACCATACAAGGCATAATATGGAATGTTCGACTTTAAGATTTGCAGTTAATCTTTACATTCAAGCACGCTTTCTGATAATTCTTCAATAACTATTCGCATTTTATTTGCAATTTCATTTAAATCCTCATTTTACCAAAGGAAATAAATATTTCTTCGATAACTGGATCATTCTCTTTTTTATCGGAATTTTGTAGTGTTTGTGTTGGTCCCCGTCTATGTTTGTGATGATTTTTTAGTTTTGCAATCAGATTAGAGAAAGATAAGTTTGCAAGAAGTTTACTCATTTTCAAAGCATTCTCCACAGAAAACATAGAAATATTTTAGAATGTCCTCAACAATCAATTAGCGAGATTTTCACTTCCGCAAATCATTACACACATATATCGACGTGCAGATTCTATTGAATTTATATTGTTTACAATAGAATCTGCACATACATCATATTTTTGCCTTTTTTAGGATCGGTTAATGCGTAGTCCATCCGATAATCTGTCCGAAAAACAAATAAATGATGATGCGTAAATTTTTAATCAACCCGGAAAAAAAATTTGAAGCAAAGACAAAAAATGAAAAAATACGAACAACAGGTGCTTAAAGCTTTCTTGGAGCACTAATTAAAAATGTCGGGAAGTCAATTTTAAATATAACATTATCTACTTCACAACCTAACCCTAACGCTAACGTTAAAATTACCTTTTAATATTTCTAAGATATATCACGTGATGGACACGATAAAGTGCATTGTGTGTCACTAAGCATTTTTAGCCAATTTATTATCGTTATAGATTTGCACCCACCCACTACGTATTGGGGCGGTAGTGGTAAGTAGAGACTGTAGCCACACTTCAAAGCCATCCTCGAATTCCATTCTTGTATGGTTGTTGATTTGGTTACATTTTCAATTGCATAGTTCAAGAGTACTGGCCAGCACATTATGACACCATTTCGATTTACATGTAGATGCAGAATCACTTATACCAAATAATCTTCAGCAAGTTGATTCATCATCTCTCGGTCGCCAAGGGTCGACTTAAATATTGTGACTGCATTGACGTAAATTTCAGACTTTTGTGATTCAATTTGTTGTGTTTGTTGTGCCTTTCAATATTATCAATAGTAGCCTAAACTTCTGATATCTAAAAACTCGTAGTTTTCCCTGCACGGAAACTGCATAAATCGAACTCGTTTAAGATGATAACTAAAGATTTTCAGAGGATATATAGATGTTGATAAATTAATTCAATTGTCTTCATAAGGATAAATCTTTCCAGGTTGAGTACTTCAATTATTTATTCTGCTTGTCTTAGTTCGTAGTTTTATATCATTAAGTCGTTTGGAATACTGAGTCCATACTGGTAAAATTAAATATCAAAGTTTGTAGATCTGAATATAAGCTCCAACTATGTGCAAATAAAAATAACCAAGATAGCATTGAGCAAAAGAATTTTCAGAATCTGCCCAATTTGGAAAATGTTTCAAATGCTCTTCGCTCTTTTCTATTGCTCCATCCATACTTTAATGCCAAAAATTGTTTTGCTCAAATGAAAGATTCCACAAAAGACTTTTTCCATATTTATGAGAAAACTCCTTGAGTATGTGTCTGTAAAAATCAAATTTTCGAAAATGTTTTTAAAAGGCATGTAAAGATCACTTTTTTACATGTGTTTTACAGACAGACGTAATTGAGTATGCAAATGCAGACTTTTACCTTTTTACGCGCGATTTACATGTTTATATGTTTTTGAAACACGTAAAAGCGATCATTTACATGTCTTTTACAGACGTGCAAATTTTTTTCTTACAAAGATGGCATAATTGTTTCTTCCAAAAAATTATCGGACGCAGTTATATCAGAAAGCTTTTTTCATTAATACGACGTAACTCTTAACTCTTTGGATTTGTCATTAATATTCAAGTAGGTCATGAAATAGCAAATTAAAAACAAATTTGTTTCTTTTGATTTATAATTACTAATAACTTTGAACGCGTTTAGATCCGTATTACAAACTGTTAGAATTCCTGTAAAAATAAAATATTTAGCAATGGATTCTGGCTAACAGTTCTAAACGTCACCTCAAATATATCCATCTCAAACAATTTAATTTATTCCTTGTTTAAAACATTTTTCCAAGAACATTTCATTCATGAAAGTCGATTTATAGACTCATACAAGGCGGGTTCAGGTAGTACAGCATATAAATTATGCGATGACGTATCGGTATTACGTATTAATTACTTGGCTCTCTAAACCAATCAAACTCCTCTTTTTCATTGTTTTTATGTTTTTGCTTATTTTAGATAATTCCTAATACATGAACATGCAATTCCGTACTACGTACTTCCGAAACATTAATTTTGTGTGCATGAATAATTGATTATGTACGTACGTAAAAGTTTCTTCGCAAGAGAGAAACGCTGTGCTGCGTGTACGGCATTAAAAGTCCGCTGATTTGTAACTTTGATTGGTTTCCTAAATGCATATATTTATATAAGAATCTGGTACATGTACATGTAAGAATAAAAAATTAACATTCGAAACTTTAACGTTAAACCAAATACAAGTACATGTAAATCGAAGTGCTATTTATTTAAATTTATATTTTTCAACTATCAACAATTTAAAAAAAAAATTAAGCTATAAATATAAAATCGAAAAATGCGTCGAGAAGAAACGATACATGTGCCAATTTGCAAGCAAAAATATAGTGGACACTACTTGGATGATCCACGATATTCTCCAATGAGAAATCCTAATTGCCTAATAAGAGTATGGTGGATCATTGTCTGTGTTTTTAATGTAGCCCTACTTTTGCTCAGTTTAATATATATTTTGGCATATTTTACGAAGGTGAGCATTTAGATATCTCGTTGATGTGTATGTGAAGTTTATTGTTTCTCAATTTATTGACAACAAACTCTGTTGAATAAAAAAGTGGCGCCATGACAACACAATCACACAAAACCTCTTCATATGTATACTTGCATTGGAATTAGGTCCACGGATTGTATGTGTTTTGCTATTATGGTGGCATTACGCAGCCAAGAAATATTTTACATTTTGGGATTCGATTGCCGTTTTTTGCTGTAAGTTTCTATAATTAAATCGAATGTCATTTTGATTTAAATAATTAACTATACCTATGTTGATAATAGGTAAAAAAGAAGCTTACTTGATTGGCGGTGAAAAAGCACTAACCAGACGACAAATACGAACATTAGGGAACTGTTCAGACGCAATCACTTTTTTTTACTTGATATTTATGTGCGTCGCTTTGTACATCAATTTCGGGAATTTCAGAACGAGTCTTAGTGAAGGAATTACTAACAGCGATATAAAGGAGCAAGTACGTAATGGGATCGATGGACTCGGGGAAGGAATCAAAAATCCTCTAGAAAATTCTGGTCATGCTGATCGAAAGATATTAACAATATTAATTGGATTAGTGCTTCAAGCAATGATTTTATCACTAAGAGTTATTTTGAGATTATTATCTGAGTGCAGCGCAGCAGTTGATGCTAATACCGATGAGAGAGGCAATTCTTATACATGGACAGTGTAATATAGTTTATTCAACTCTGTTCATAACAAACCTTTTTATACGAATTCGGGATAACTTTAAATTTATTGTGAGTTCATTATACAAATTATAGTAAATTTGATATAACGAACTTTACGAAAGTTTTGATTAATATAATCGTCAGTTCGTTATAAAAAATAGTTGACTGTAATTGTATTATATAATAGAGTAATTGTAGAATAATAGCATTAATCCTGTGTAATTTAATTTATTGTACATGTATTTGGTAGATAAAATTTATTTTGTAAACAATTAATATTAATTATTTATCCCCTAAGGATGCATTGAGATTTTATCTCGAGGTACATAAATCTCCACAACCAGTAATAAAAACAACTTTCGGACGAACACGGTTTGGAAATATTGGATCCACGACAAAAATGAATTCAATACAAGAGCCTGACTTTAATAGATGATCGCATGACTTATCCTCGAATAGCAAATACGGTATATGAATTGTAATTGTCCAAGATTATGTTATCCCTATAAAAAAGCAAGCACGTAATAATCCACGGAATGGAACGAAATGTCCCGGTATGATACTTGTAATGACGGAAACGCGCAAATGCCATATAATATCTACGATTTAAGTCTAGTTTTTTGACACGAATTTACATTCCATGGCTCCGTGTCAAAAACCCTTACCAAAAGCGTATTTATGAATATGCTTGCTTTTTATCAGTATCTCGAAATGATATAGGCGGTGAGACGGGTAATTTATTTTAATTTGTGTATACTGGCCGGATGAAAGTCTTAAATAAGAAACATTTAATATTTAGTTGGTTCACAATTATTGTAAGAACAATCTTTAATAAATACTGCAAATTTAATATGTGTCAATCACTAAATTATTAATAATAGGACAGTTTATATTAATATCAACAAATTTCTTCAAAAATTCATAATTTTAGAAGTTAACATACTAAAATTTCAATGAAAAATTCTGAGATTAAATGATTAAGATAATGTGATTTCGTTATAAAATCCATATTACTGTATTTCGAAATAAATCAATATGCTTGAAAATAAATACATGTAATACGTACATGTAACACCAATAAGACATAAGCAAAAAATAAATTACAAGTGCGTTCGTATGTACGTAATAAATTAAGTACATGTACGTACACCAAAAAGTATCGCCCGATGTAAAATTACATGTACATGTACGTATATAGTAAAATACATATAAAAATTTTTTGTTGATTCTATAATTAAAACAGTACTTTCGTTTTAAAAGTTTCATAAGTCTTGTTCATTTTTTCAAAATACAATTGATTATCTTTAAAATGATATAAAATTTAGAAATAATTATTATATAACTTGAAATTTTCAATTTTTATATAAAAAGCTTGGCTTGGGAAAAAAATTTTTACTTTCCAATCAAACAGTCATTGCATTTTATGCCACAAGTCTTGTATTGTTTTTTCAAAAATACAATCAATTAGCTTTAAAATGATATACAATTTAGAAATAATTATTATAGATATACGCATACGTATATATGTAGCTTGAAAATTTCCATTTGTTTAATTATCGTCATACGTATAATTCTGGACCGGGCGTTACTTTTTGGTGGTATGGTGCATAAAATCTAAGGTCATCAAACGTTTGTATTTAATAAAATGTATAAACTTCTTTACTAAGTAAATATAAAATTTAATCCGTGAATATGATAGAATAGGCCTTTTCTGAGCATATTCACGGATTAAATTTTGTATTTACTTCTTAATAAAGAAGTTTATCCATTTAATTAAATACAAACGTTTGATGACTTTTAGATTTTATGCACCATACTGTACATATAAGTACGTACGTACGTAGGTGAAATGCATATCGATGCAACATCATGTACATGTACATGTATTATGAACCGGTACCGGTAATATTGATATTTAAACTTGAACACAAGAAATTCACGTAACATTTCGGAAGTAAAAATCCGAAAAAACTAACGAAAAAACTTTATTCTAAAGCTTTTATATGTTTTTTCTGCGAAAAATACTTTGAAAATGAATAAAAATATTGTAAGCTCATTCTCTAATCTGATTACAAACCCAATCAATCATCAAAAACATAGACGTGAACAAACACAAACACTACAAAATTCCGATAAAAAAGCAAATGATCCAGTTATCGAAGAAATATTTATTTCCTTTGGTAAAATGATTCATTCGCAGGATTTAAATGAAACTGCAAATAAAATACGAATAGTTATTGAAGAATTAGCAGAAAGCGTGCTTGAATGTAAAGCTTTACTGCAAATCTTAAATTCGAACATTCCATATTATGCCTTGTATGGTTTTTTACATCATTTTGGGATCAAAGTTGAACAGAATTCTAAAATTGCTTTTAAATTTTATAAAAAATCGGCAAAGAACAATAGTGCAATTGCTCAATATTTACTCGGATTTTGCTACTATAGTGGAGTTGGTATACATAGCAATAAAAGCAAGGCATTTAAGTGGTTTTTAAAGTCAGCAGAGGGGAAAGATACTAGAGGACAGTATAATCTTGGTTTCTGCTATCAAAATGGAATCGGAACACAAAAAAATGAGAAAAAAGCTTTTGTGTGGTATTTGAAATCGGCAGAGGGGGGAGATGCAAGTGGACAAGATGGTCTTGGTTTTTGTTATGAAAATGGAATCGGAACACAAAGAGATGATAAAAAAGCATTCGATTGGTACTTGAGATCAGGAGAGGGTGGAGACGCAAGTGGACAATCTAATCTTGGTTGGTGTTATCGAAATGGTTTAGGAACACAAAAAGATGAGAAAAAAGCATTTGAGTGGTATTTGAAATCAGCAGAGGGTGGGAATACTGATGGACAATCTAATCTTGGTTGGTGTTATCTAAATGGGGTAGGAACACAAAAAGATGAGAAAAAAGCATTTGAGTGGTGTTTAAAATCAGCAGAGGGTGGAGACGCAAACGGACAATCTGGTGTTGGTACGTGTTATAGAAACGGAATAGGAACACAAAGAGATGAGAAAAAAGCATTTGAGTGGTATTTAAAATCAGCAGAGGGTGGAGATGCAAATGGACAATGTAATCTTGGTTGGTGTTATCAAATGGGCATTTGGACGCAAATAGATGAGAAAAAAGCATTTGAGTGGTATTTAAAATCAGCAGAGGGTGGAGATGCAATCGGACAATGTGCTGTTGGTACGTGTTATAGAGATGGAATTGGAACACAAACAAACGAGAAAAAAGCATTCGAGTGGTATTTGAATGCGGTTGAGGGTGGAGATGCAATTGTACAATACAATCTTGGTTGGTGTTATCAAATTGGTTTTGGGACGCAAACAAATGAGAAAAAAGCTTTTGAGTGGTATTCGAAATCGGCGGAGGGGGGAATTGCTAGAGGACAATATAATCTTGGTTCTTGTTACGAAAATGGGATCGGAACACAAAGTGATGAGAAAAAAGCATTTATGTGGTATTTGAAATCTGCTAAATCTGGGTTTGATCTCGCTCAATTCAGATTGGCTGAACAGTATCAATACGGATTCGGAGTTTCAAAAGATCTTTTTATGGCGTTAAAATGGCACAAAAAAGCTTATCAAAACGGTTATAATCTAGCAATGGAACATGTTAAAAAATATATATTTCTTTTATATACGTATTAGCTAAATATCTTTAGAACATTTATCCACTTAGTTTTTATAAATACTAGATAGCAATATTTGTATAGTGATAGCTGTATCTCCGTATTGTGCTGATTAGTCATATTTATAAATACAGGTAGAAAAAAAGTTTTGCTTATGTTTGATTCACTCGGATTTGTTAAATAAACTTCTATGTTTACTATAGTATTTTGTAGTTATTGGAGGTTCCCCTGGATTTTGACACGGATATAACAAACTCTCGTAAAACTATTTAAAAATGTGGAAGTTAATCCAAAGGTTTAACAAGTTAAACCCTCCATTAAATTCAATATTAGTATGAGTATACTTATTTTTTTCTAAATATATTTGGCTATCTCAGTCATTCGGTCAATGCCAGACAAATCTACAGAAGTTGGCGACCTTCAAAAGTATCATCGAACGATGTTACTTTAAATTTTCTAATTCCAGAATTATAAAACGTTTCATGCATAGAATTTGATTGCTTATGTTAATTCTTTATCTTATCTCTACACCAAGTTATGGATGGTGGGTTTCTTTTGCTACAGACTATATATATACCCATTCAAAACTTTTGTTTCTTTATAATGATTAAATTATATTAACCTAAATCGAATGATTTTGATCAGATGTATCTTGACTTGTTGAATCTGTTGACAAAATTTATTTAATTTGGTTCACTGAATACAAAGATATTTGCACCTTTATAAAACAAAATATTTTATTATATAAATTTCAGTTTGATATTAAATTTTATCTTTTACTTTTTATATTTTTTATTTGAATTAATCATTGAAATTACTTGAAATTTTGATATATTGTACAATATATTTAATAAATCTATTACCTTAGAACAATAGATCTGGTTTTTTATTGGTTTTTGCGTTATTGTATTTTAAAACATGTTCACAATATTCTGCTAGGCTACTGTAACTATGCGTCTCAGCATTGGTGTGGATAATTTCGGTTTTAATATCTATGCTTCTCATTATCTGGTAAAAATTGGCTTGACAACACATAAGAGAGGGTGGTGAAAGAGATCTTCAGCTGGTTCAAAAATCTGTAAAGATGGAAGAATTGTAAAGAAAGTCTGGCTAAAACTCTTACTCTGATGGCCTTACGAAAGGTATTATATAAGAAACTTAGATTTATTTACTGTGAAAATGCAAGCTTCTAAGAGAGACTATCAAGTAACTGTGATAAATTTTATAAATATAAGAGCTAAACTATCAAATACATCAAATATTGGAGTGTCTATTATTAATCTGATTACAAAAATAGTTCAAGCAGCATAATGATAATCACTAATTAAGATTTTTATGGGTTATTACATATTATTATTAAATTAATACTGATACATATTGATATATCATTAAAATTTTCTGTAATACTAATGCTAATATATAATAATATGTAAATTATGTAAATTATTAATTACTATTTTTTATATTATCACCAAACTAAAAAGCTATCAAGAATTTTATGTATTTTTTCTTTTTCAAAAATTTCAACATTATTTTTTGAATTTTTTGTGTTTTGTTGAATACTTCACAATTTATCCTGGGAAATTTCTTGAATTCCACCATCTAATCCAACAAGTTGAATACATAATTCTTGTAGTTAAGTATTCATATTTGGGTGATTTTTGATATTATAGCAATTAAATAATCCTTCTAGTTATTGTTGATATACTAAAATACTCCAAATATGATATTTAAGAAATTCATATACAAGAGAAAACTTGACTGGCTCTGCTATATCAGAATTTGCAAAAATCTCAAACTCTTCAAAAAAATCTTGTTGTTTTAATGCTTTCAATAATTCAAATATATTTAATTTCCATTGGATAAGTCTTCTTTTAAGAATTCAATATAAGAAATTTCTTGTAAAGTTAATTTTTTTGAAGAATATTAATCAAAAAATATATTTAGAAATGCACAAGCAAATTTTGATCCATTTTTTTCACCTAATCGACAAATATATAATTGTAAGTGAATTCAAGTTTTCATCCATTTGATAAATTCATTTAATACATTTTGTACTCCAATATGAAGTAATTCACAAAATTTTTCAAAATCTATTGTGCTTAATTTATATTTACCATTAGCTAATTTTCTTCAAATAACTTGTAAATATTTTTAGACCACTTTTAAGTTCACCAATTCATATTAATATTTTATCTGGAATTTTATAAGCATGATTATCTAATGAAAGAGTAATCATCATATTTGATTGATAAATTCATAGAATTGAATTATATTCAATTAGAAAATTATAAATAGGTTCATAAAATTTCTGATCAAATTTGACAAGACATCATAATAGATTAAGCTTTTTATTGGTAAATCATTCAAGAAATATCTGCTATTTTTGTAAATATATTTTTGAAATATTTTTAGCATTTTCAAGTTGTTTAATAAAGAATTGTGCAAAGCAAATATGAAATTGAATAGAATTTTATAAAGTTTTTGTATTATTTCAGATTTTAGATTTAATAGACTGTCTTTATCTAAAAGATTATATTCATTATAAAGATGAAAGATAAGATTGAGTAAGTCATATGAATACTTCTTTAATGATAATCCTTTAACTATATCTAACTTTTCAAATACTATATTTTCAAAGTTTATTAAAATAATATGTGTTGCATGTAATCTACAAGGAATTTGAAATGATCAAGATTTTGCTAACAAATTAAATTTAGTAATTGTACCATGAGTTTCAGAAGATATATAAGCTGTATTATCTGTTAACCAAAAGTGACATTTTTGAGAATCAATTCCTTTGTGTTGGGATATTTCAAATATAGTGGTGGAAATTACTTTAGCATTACAATGTGTCAGATCTGTTAATTTTGCTACAGTGATTGTAGGTTTCTCTTTAATAATATTCCAGTGAGCAAAGCAAATAATAAATACTTTTGTTTCTCCTCGTGTACTTTCATCAGCCATGATTTTATATCCAAAAAATTGTGAAGAATTTTCATTAGGACAATTTTGGTCAAAAGATAAAGTTGCCACTTCTTTATTCCATTTTGCCAAAGTAGTTGGTGTTACTCATCATTGTGGTGATTCTTCAGTTAAGAATTGAAAAATAGCTTTTGTATATTCAACTGTTGCATGAATTGAAATCTGTCCCATTGTGCTTATATCAGTGGCTAATTTTACAAATTCTGCACTATATTCTTTGCGATTAATTTTGAATATTTTGTTAATGGTACGTTTGAATTGGATGAGTTGAATTTGTTTTGCTTTTTGAATAGCAGCTCGAATTTTTGAAATTTATTTTTGTTTTGACTGTTTTGCTCTTACTAATTGCATGAAAAGTGAATGAATTTGAGTACTTGAAATTGCTTTGTTTCTTATTAAATGATAATTTCTTTTTCAAAGTTTTAGCTTTTGATTCTAATGTACTAACAGTATAATTACGTTTATAAAGACCAGAATCAATAAATTTACACGTCTTTTTTTGCAAATGAGTGTAAATTATTTCTCCTTTGTGATTTTCTTGAGGATAAATCATCATTTGAAAGAGAATAAATGCATTGAGTACTTGTTGGTCGGATAGATTATATATTTGTTTAATGATATCATCATGTTTTCTTTGAATACGAGTATTTGCTTCACGAGATTGATAAATTTGTTTCATTATAGAGTTAAAATCATTATCATTTAGTTGTATAAGTGTAGGAATTAAATGGTCGAGTGTTTCTTGCGAATTATTTTTGGTTTCCTGTAATGTTTTTTGTTGTTCACATTTTTGCATACCTCAGATACGTTTTAGTTGTTCATTTCATGATTTCAATCGACCCATCACAGAATTAAAAGAATAATTATTCTTTAATTAAATGTAATTTAAATGTGAAAGTTGTTGTTTATGTTGCAAATTATGCTGAATTTGATGATGACAACGCGTATTTTTATTTTACTTAATAAAGTCTTTACATTTATTCTTACGACAAATATTTACAAAAAGCATTATGATTTTACGTTATGTGTAAATATTATTTGATTGTGATTTGCAATTAGCATATATAAATTTTAACGTTGTCACTATATAAAGACGCGTTCTATGAAGCTTGTTGTTTTTCCAAATTTAGAAAGTATGAGATATTACAGGAAAAATTGAAGATGATACAAATTTATTTTTTTGATAATTGTTAATTATACATGCAAATCGAAAAAAATTTATTACAAAAAATCTTAATTAGATAATCATCATTATCGTTATGTGTTTGAACTATGTTTGTAATCAGACTGATAATAGATACCCAAACTATACATGTACGTAATTAGCGAGGTAATACATGTACGTACATGTATTTAAATCTAAAATCGAACAATACGTATCTGTATGCATGTAATTACACATAAATCTCAAACTACATGTATCACTATTTACGTGCTTTGACTATTTAAATCTTTGAAAAAATTGTCAAGCTTCTTTTCCAAGCTATCAAACCGAGCGCGTAACTCGTTTTTTTCAATTTCTGCTAACTTTTCAATACGTTCAAGCTTTTTTTCTGCGGTTTCATTTGTTAAATTTCTCCATTTTTCGGTTGGAATCGCGTAGTAAACGTTTCTTTGGTGCGAAAGTGAGTATGTATGTTTAATTAATAATTGAGCACGTATCTGACTTACTGCTCGTTTTTCTAAGGTCGATTCTTTAAGCACATCTCTAAATAGTAAATGTAAGTTGATTAACTTTCTTTATTAGACAGTAAAGTATAACGATAATAGAAAAAGATAAGTTACCCCATCAAACTAATCAGTAAATTCTGCAGAAGAGTAGCTAAAAATATACTGGCAATCACAGTGACTAAATCAACTGGCCAAAAATTCCAATTTGTAACCTGATCCCAGCGACCACTTATCCAAAAGTATACGGCTTGTACTGATTTATCCCAAAAATAATAGTAATTGTCTGATCGATCAGCCCAATCCAAGTTTTGTTGGATAGTGAAATTAGGATAAGTTACATTGTTTTCGAGAATTTGTGTGGTTCCGTTGTTAGGATTCTCTGTTGTAAAAGAGCCGCTAAATGTGGGAGACCCGGGTAAAATACCAGTTCCTGGAGCAAATCGTAAAAGCAAAAACCTAAAGGCAAAAGTAAAATGCAGTAGTACTTTACTTTGAGCTTTGCCAATAGACGACGATGATTAATAGGATACTTACATAGTGAATGCGAATCCTACAACAATAAACATCTGAGAAACGAGAAATCCAAAGATATTTACAGTAACATTGATGATAATGAAAATGTATTTCCCAACCACTAATAATATTAGCGTTAGCATTAAAATATAATCTCAAAGATAATCATAAGTAATAACGATAAATAAATTAGTGCTTACATGGTAAAAATCGCATTTGAAAAAACTAAAAAAAATAATTTATGTAAATAAACGTCAATCATATGAAAATACAAACAAGTAGTTAGATTACTTACGAATACAACCCAAAGTAATAAACCAGCTAGTGAATAGTATATCACTTGACTTTGACACTGAAGATGGTGTCTTTGGCAATAAGGAGATTCTTTTCGGATATCAGTATCAGATTCTGGTAGTAGCTCAGTATAACGCAGATGGACCGATAACATCATTGCACAGCCAATTAATGGTAAAGTCAAACCAGCAAGATCGAACGCGTATAAAACTATTAGCAAAATCTGTTGCTTAGTTAAATAACGCATTTCCTTTATTTTTCTAACTAATAGATTATAAGCAAATCCACACATTATAGCAACAGCAGGTATAAATACGGGTCCAACGGGTTGACTATACACAATCTTATTCAAATGCGCGTAGCTTAGCCAAATGAATGAAATTGCATACGCAATATAAAATAAGAATTCAAGAATAATGATGAATCTAGCATAGTGACGCCATTGAAAGTCAACGATTGCTTCTATTGATGGGTTGTCATAAATTTCGCCGGTCTTATCATGAATTATAAGCCTAGTGAATGGGCTTTCATTATGACGAGTTCGCTCGAGTAAGACTAAATTCAGGAAAAAGTTCCAAGTAATATCAATCACTGCATCCTTGATTCTTTCTTTACTCGAGCCACTCTCTATTAATCCTGGAAGGGGAACCTGAAAATATCCCATATTCGTCTTTCGATATCTAGATATATGATTCTTTTTGTCTTTGAATGATTTCTTGTATTCTTGTTGACGATAAGGATCAAAAAGATTAAATTTGATGTGAAAAGATTGAAAATTATCCGGATTATTATTTGGTCGATAAGACTCCCATGATTTATCAAGATGAATTTCTTGTGAATGAAAAACTTCTTTTTTCATTAATTGTATGACGCTTTCTAAAAGAGAAATAAGTTAATTAGTAATCATATATAGAATACACACAGTAAATACACCCTCGGGACCAGAAAAGTGTGATCTTAAAGAGGTAGTGAGCCCACTGGGTGCAACACTGGGTGTGACTATATAGTGTGATTATATGGAGGGACTGTACTTACTTGGAAATTTTATAATTAATTCTGGCAAAGCTTGAGTGACAGTTTCCATCCAACTCAAATTCTCTTTAGCTAAAGTAGAATAATAATCGAGAAGTTTCTCTACAGTTTCGTGTTGATCTTGATTTATTGCAATCGATAACGCACGAGGATGATGCTCATTATCATAATCAGCCCAATTTTGAAAAACAAAATTATATGAAGGTTCTTTTGGTTTGTCATGAACAGCTTGCCGAGGAATATGTAAGCGATCTTCAGGTTTATTTAAAATATAATGAATAACTTGATCTTGAAAATCCGCTTTAATCATTGTTGTTACGATACGAAAACGAGCGTCTAATATTCTAAAATTACCAAGATCTTCGATCGCTTCTTTGATGATATTGGACGCTATTATTTTTATGGACCGGATTAATTTCTCATAACTTTTCCCTTTATTTGTCTCTTTTTGTACCTCTTGATTCTTTTCATATGCATCTTTTTGTTCATTTATTAATTTTAGTGCACTGCACATTCCTACTATAGATGTAGCACGTGGTTTAATTGGGATGATGTCATGTTTAAATCCAAGCTTGTTTTTGTCATAACGCGAATTTAATGTTAGTTTTACCGATTGATTTTGCTTGACATATTCAAAAGCGGATATAATTGGATCGGTAAGATATTTGGAAAAAGCTGTTGGAATTGACCAAATATTGACAAGAGAGTATCCTTTTTTTTTATTTTGATCTTCTTTAAAGATTCTTACTATTTTATCTTCTATTATTATTTTGATTTTTTTGTCCTTTTCATCGTTGTCGATTTCATTGCCGTCGATTTTCTCTTCATTGTCATTGATTTCCTCTTTGTTGCCATCGATTTCCTCTTCGTTGCCATCGATTTCCTCTTCATTTCTGTCGATTTCTCTTTTATTGCCGTCGATTATGATTTTGATTTTTACTTTACCGATGACTTTATTGCTGTTGATCTCATTTTCATTGCCGTTGATTTCCTCTTCAGTTTTCGCTTTAACGTTAACTTTCATTTTCATTTTATTGATTTTTATTTTATTGCAGTCGATTTCGATTTCCTTTTTGACTCTCATTTTATTGTCGTCGATTACTGTTATGGTTTCCCTTCCATTGCCGTCGATTTTCATTTTATTGTTGATTTCCTTTTCGATTATCAGTTTGACTCTTAATTGTTTGCCATTAATTTTAATTTCCTTTTCATTATTGTCGATTTCTTTTTCATTGCCGTCAATTATGATTTTCATTTCATTGCCATCGATTATCGTTATGGGTTCCTTTTTGCCACCGATTATGACTTTCATTTCGTTGCCATCGATTATGAGTTCCTTCTCATTGCCGTCTTTAACTTTATTGTTTTGTTGATTAACAGCATGATTTTGCTTTTTTTGATTAATGTAAGGATTTTGATAAAAAAGTTCGACCAAACTATCCTTTTTATAATTTGTATAAAAGATGCTATTCTTCTTTACGAAAAATTCAAGATCTTTTATTTTATATTTATATTCTTTTTTATATTCTAACTTGTAATAATTTATATTTGACGGATGTTTCGTTAATTCCATGTGATGAAAATTCGCAATTCTTTTTAATTCTGCAGTTCCTTGATTCTCTTCAAATTTTAAAGTTCCTGGCATATTCCAAATCAAGATTTCTTTTTCAATGTCTTGGTCTTGATCTTGATCTTGGTCTTGGTCTTGATCTTGGTCTTGGTCTTGATCTTGGTCTTGGTCTTGGTCTTGGTCTTGATCTTGGTCTTGGTCTTGGTCTTGGTCTTGGTCTTGGTCTTTTTGTGTATCTTTGATCGATGGTTTCTCAAAGATGATTAAAAGCTTTGTATTATTCGCAATAAATGCCATAAACTTGATTTTTGCATTGTCGTAAGGTAATTCATGTGTCACTAATTCGATAGAGTTTGGCATAAAATAAATACTAAAGGAATTGAAACCAAGTGATGCTGCTAAATATTGTTGTTTTTCTTTATTAGTAGCCACTGCAAATACTGGCAAAATTTCTTTTTTTTTGTTTTTGTCTCGAAAATATTCTTCAGAGTTTTGTACGGTAAGCTCTTTATTGGTCGTATCATTGTGTTTCTTCTCTTGAACTTTTGCTAAACTTTTATTAATATTGAATAGTTTATCAAGTTCACCTGTTGAAAGATCATAGCGTTCAATTTTCCTAAGTTCGATTTGCTTGTGCCGGCTAATCGAGTATAAATAATTACCCTTTACGAAATTGGTTAATTTATGTTCCACTACGTCTTTGGTGGATTTCGAGTATTCTGCAAACTTGTTCATTGGAGGTGGATAAGAATGATCAGTATTTATTCTCGACTCAAAATTTATTCTCTTTTTTGTTGACTCAAAAAAATTGGTTATTCCCTTGCTTAAATGAAGATTATTTTTGTATCGTATTATCCGAAAGTTGTTTCGTCTTAAAATAATAAGTTCTTCGTCGTTTAGAAATTTGATAATGCCATTTCCGGTGTTTGAAATACAGTTTGATTGAACAATCTCTCTCGATTGGTGGTCATATACAAGGAATAATACGCTTTTATCAGACAACAGCGTATTCTTGCGGCGACCGAAAGTGCTATTTAGATTCCTCCAAACATTCTTGGGGAAATTGTCATTTTTGTAAATTGCTAATTCCCGTTTATCTTTGATGTTTGAGAAATCATAAAAAGAAAATGCGATCCAGGTACTTTCAGTAGTATCAAAGACCGCCACCGACCAATTAATATCACCCCTTGTTTCAAAAGAACCGAGATCATGATGTTCTAGTGAATCTGTGGTGTGGCTGGTAGGAGTAGTTTTTATTCTGTGATATCCGATGTATATTCTTGAATCAAATTTTAAAGGCGTAGAATCAAATAGTGGATCTTTGGAATGGAAATTTGAAAAAATCGATAAGAAGCCAATAAATTAAATTTGTATCTCTTAAAATATATTAGAAATAATTAAGCTACCTTTTTCCTTTTTCAGAGTAATAGCACTTTTTCCATTTTGATCTGTTTCTATTTTGATAATTGTACCACTTTTTACACTGTCGAACTTGCTTATTCCTTCACGGTCGGAATTTTTGTTCCCTTTTTCTATAAATGCGTAGATATAAGAATTAATATTTATTCGAATGTGTTTGCATAATTAGCATTAATAGGTTGAAGAGAGATATCGATATTGACCAGGTGCTGTTTTAATTGGTTGACTAGATGATCGTTCAATTAATTGTGGACTAATTACAACTTCTTTTAAAGAATCCATTTCTTTACACGGAATGGTCTAATAAATATCACAAAATGGAATTTTAAAAAAAATGAATGCTTCGTAGATTTATAAAAAAATCAACGGTACCGTACGTCTCGTGCGTCAAATAACGGTTGATCTCTATCAAAAGTAGATTGTTTCTCTAAATAGAAATTTTTAATAGGTTTGGGTGTACGTATAATGACGATAACAATAAAGTTAACGTTAAACAGTTTAACGTTAACCTTAAGTTTTGAAGTGATAGTAAAAAATTTTGCATAATGCAATAGAAATCTTTCCGAATTCCTGTTTTTTCCTGCCTCTTTACATGCATGCAAATTGGCGTACTACGTACAAATTTTCATTGTTGAAAATCTAATTTCCCTTGTGTTCGGGGGTTTTTTGATGTTCGAATTTTGCATTTTTTATATGTTTATGATATACATGTAAAGGACCCTATAAGAAATTTCGATATCCTGTTATGGAGAAAAAGTCTGATATGCCAGACACAAGAAAATTTAAGACAAACGGACCTTTTACATGCCTGTAAAACGCAGACATATCAGGCTTTTTCGTATATGTTCATACGTATGTTTAGAAATACAATATATCAACATTTAAGGCGTATTTTTCTTATAGGGGTGCATAGCGATAGTGGTGAACCACAATGCTATGCACGTCAGACTTTTTAGAGAGATATTGTGCTCTTAGTTTTTTTAGAGATGTTGTACGCTCTTAGATTTTTTTAGAGAAACGTTGTACCTTTTAGATTTTTTGAAGAGATGATGCTGTACTCTCAGATTCTTTGGAGATTGTGTATGGGTATTTTTTCGGAGTTTCTTTATTGGTTCTGCTTTAAATATCATTACGGCGATGAGATTTTAATGTTTCCACAGTCAACACTGGACTGGTTACAATAGCACCCTTTACAATAACATTTTAGATACAGTAATACTGTCAGCCTGGAACAGAATTTCTCTAATGTATATATAGTGTTATTGTATTGGGCAGAATATACATGTACGTAATATCACTCACAATTTAATCGGACAATTAACCTAAAACGATAATATTGCCCGTGATTTTGACGGTAACGGTAATACAATATGTTGCTTTGATCTGGTCTAAAAACATATCGATATCGATATGCAAAATTCAACCTATGTTTTTGGCCGCTACCGCTACATTTATCAGTGTGACACCCATATTTTACACCGATTTTGTCCAGATGAAAAGTCTGATGTCGACGACAACGATAAACCCACGGCTGCTGACTCATCACAACGTCGTCGCACTCCTCAAACGAATGCAAAAACTGTAGTATCGTCCAGAATCGACAACACCATATTCTAATCTGATTCGTCATATCTGTGGTCGCACATGTTTTAAGGGCATTTTTGAAATGTGTGTCAGGTTACGTCGAATATGTTGCTAGACTACGTGGCGTAGCTAACTGTTCCACATAGCAAACGATCAGAAAATTGACAAATTTTTTTTTCGTTTTTGCATTAATTAGAATACATTGTATTTTGTAAATAAGCAATAAAATATAAAAACGTATGCATTATGAAATTTAGAAATTTATTACATTGAATTAAAACGCGTAAATAAAATTTAATTTTTATTAAAAGTAAAAAAAGGCCAAAAAACGAAGTGAAAGCAAATAATATGCTATAAATGCTATAATTTCACTCGCTATACCATTACATTCAATTTGGTCGATTGTTCAATATATTCTTACTTAAATTATGCTCTTTTTTGCCTGTTTTCTTTTTTCGAGCTGGAATAATCATAGGATCCAAATTATCTTTTTGTTTATTGTTAGAAACAAGTAGTCTTCGCTTAGAACCACCTCCCTCCGTTTTTAATTGATTCTACTTGAACCCGTATTCTTGCACCACTTTTTACACGAGTCATCGGGTCTAAATCGCGATTGAGATTATAAAGAAAAGAGGTTAATCGGGGAATAGAATTTAGCTTTGTCACTTTATAACGATCTTTAAATTTATCCAGTGCAGTTCGTAACGTTTGACCGGAATTTTGATAATCTGATTTAACTTCTTCTAAAAAATAAGTAAATTCAGAAATATCAAATTCTTCGTTCTTTTCCTCGCTAGATTCTCTAAAAAAGATTATCAAAAAATTGTAAATTATGTAATAAATTAACGAAATATAAAAAACTTACCTCCAATCAGTAATCGGAGTATTGCCTGACATTCCCATTTCAGTGTGTAAAGTTTGACTCTGTGAAGCAGATTGTGCACGCAATATGCATAGAAAGACTTACCCTCAGCAACATAACCTAAGAAACAAATAAATATCACCGATTTTCATATACCACTTGAAGTTTGACAAAGTAAAAATCACATTTCTACTTACCAAGAGCTATATAAGTGTAATAAATGCGATCATCTGGTGTCAACGATGGAACCAAATTAAACATCGAAATATGAAATTACTGAAACTGCTTCTTGGTGCTTACAAGGAGCACCAGATATTCCAACAGGACAGGAGCACACTCCAATTTCACTATTTACGATGTATATAAGACCAGTATTCTTCGTACTTTGTACCAAAAACTCATTCTCTACATTTGTCCTTTGGATTGCATCTGCATTTACTATTTCCCAGCCAGGACATAGGAATCAGTTTGCAATACTTAAAAATCTCTGGATGCTTATGTGCAATTCCAAGTAATCGTCTCTCATAAAACTGCTTCATATTCATGATTAAAAACTGGAAAACCTGGACAGGATTGAATGCTTGCGTTCTGGCAAAAATTATATCTTTCAATATACCAAAACTTCGCTCAATATATTTGTATTGTTACCACGCATAGGTAAGCCTAAATGGAAGGATAATACCCAACATTGTCAATGCACTCACATAAGTTCAAAATGATTTCGTAAATGTGGATAATTATTATAGAACTTCTACTTAAATTCATTATAATATCTATCCATTATTGCACATATAGAGTTCTCTTCATCTTTTCTATAATAGGTGCTTGATCTTCTTTATTAATTTTATGCTTTGAATCATGGAGTCACCTCCAGAATGCTTGCAGGCAATGGAATATACACAAAAGACGAATTCCTGCAATAATTAATTAAATTGTTAATAATTGATTTTTTATATTTTTATAATAAATAAAGTTACCTTTTGGTCAGCAAAGTTCCAAAGCGTTACATTCTGCACTCGAATCATCAATTAGAAAAACAACTGGTTCAACTTCTGGTCCACGTCTATAAAAGGCATTCGATAGGAGAATCATCTTCAGTAAATTCAACTAATTAAGCAGAAAATTAAAAAATTACAAATTAATCGATAAAATTATAAATAATTTTAGAAAAATTCAAGTAAATTTTCCTTAAAGAGTATAATAAATAAAATCAAATTAGATAATTATTGCCTTTTCCAATGTAATTTCTAACTCATCTGATGTAATAAACAATCCAAGTGGGTGTATAAAAGTGTTATATTAAAGTATTGAGATGATCAAAAGATGCCGATGTGTTCATATAACATAGTTCACTTGCTTGGGGGACCATTTTATGCACACGACACATGAGATTTGTTAAAATACAAAGGATAAAGGATTTTCAGTGCGTGCATCATATTCTTATAATACAGTCTTTCCATGATCTGAGTTATTATAATCTTCAACAACTTTTAGGCATTTAATATGAGTTCTATTTTGCGACTTCCAAGTGTTTTCTTTCTATATTGCTGAAAAAGACTAGCAATATAATTATAACCAGGATTATTTGCTCGATCTGCAAAAATTTCCATTACGTAGTTCCTGTTCGTTTGTGACATTGAGATGTAGTATATCTTCATATGCATGTAATGCAGAAGATGATAAATGTCCATCTTTAAATAATTGATTAGTTCCTCACGAACTTTCTTCTTAACATGCTGAAAACTCAGTGATTCTGCAGATTTAATAACATGAGTATGTGTATATTTTATGTTGACTTCTAGTGGATGAGTAGTGGAAGTTGTCGACACTCCAGTCGAAGACGGATGTTGCATTACAATAAATATTTTGTGCTTGAGTTGATTGTGGTTATTTTGTTTCACGATGACCTTGCTTTTTCTTTACATCATTGCTATGAATACAGTGGCGTTGCTCGTGAAATATCACCTGATTTCCTGTAATTTTATATCTTCTTGTCTTCAGCATGGTAGTCTTTGACCAGGATTGAAATGCAGCAAACTATTCAGACGCTTTTTCTTCATTATTAACATCTACAAACAACTCAAAATTTGGAATCTCAAAATTCTCTTGCGTTTGGTATGGTTGCAGGTGACTAAGACTTTGGATTATGTATATATAATTCTGAGGAAGAACTGGTTTTAAAACTTCGGTAAAAAAAAGAGCTATAAAATGGTAAATGTTGTTTTAATGATAAATTACTTTTAAATCAATTATTTCAATCGATAACAATAAATAGGTTATAAGAATAAACTCTACATATAAAACAACAATTAATTGATAAACTACACAACAAATATTAGCGTCTAATTTGGTTTGCCACTGATGGTTTAGTCAGGTAGGTAAATTGATGGCTGCGCCACATGATCAGTAACCTGATACACATTTCAGAAATGCTAATTTTCATGATTTCTGATTATACATGTATATGTACAAGATAAATATACGTACTGTAATGACTACGTAAGTACATGTATTTATTTATTTCAAATATTTAATCATGAATAATTGTTTAAATGTATATCAGATAATTTGACGATGCTTAACATTTTCTTTACTTAGGAAACATTGTCTATTTTTAATTATTGCGATAACGACAAGCACATTAAACAAATTCAGGGATAAAATTTTTGTATTTTCTTGCATTTATTTACTGGAGTTATCTCCATATATATCGGTATTGAATCATTGCAGAACGTTTATTTGTTATTTTCTATTATCATTATTGTTTCTGATTACTTTTTCAAGCATATTATTCAATTTTAATTTTGATCTGTTTCATCCGTTACCGGATGACCCGATTTCAAAATGATGTAGACACCCGAGTGATGAATCAAGGGACAGTTCGAATCTTCTATTTAAACTTATAGAATTTGTTAAGATAGCAAATGTCTCTTGTTGCTTCTCTATATTTGTATGCTCTACTAGACAGGTAAAAAGATCCGATTATTATTGATTGTTATATAAAATGTGAATATAAATTTTAATTTAAAAGATTATATTTTAGACGTGCCAACCAAATTTAGCACATTAAACGGAAAAAAAGAGATTTATGTATAGTAAGAAATTTGTTATTTAATAATATAAAATTTGACTCTCAGTGAATAAAAGTGAGGCTAATACTGAATTGATCGTAGTTTAAAGTATTTGTCACTTCATGTATTTCATTACAAATTATTAAAGTGGATTTTTAAAAATTTTTTACTAGTAAATTTTTTGATGCACTATATTAATAAAGAGTGACGTTAAACATTGATGCACACGCTAGAAGAAAATTTTTTGACCTGTGTATATCCAAGAGTCATTCAGGCTTGTTTTCTCTTGTTAGTTGCGACGTTCTTTTCTGGCAGACTTTGTATAGTGATCCTTGAATAGTCGTGAGCTCGTTTTTGTATTATTGATAGAGCACTTTCGATAGGCTTGACGACACTGGTTCTTGCACCTAATTCGTCATTTCAACATCATCTGACATCATTGTCGTATTCATGTGTAGAATCGGACGTTTTGAATTCTGAACGTTTCATTACCCACATTGAAAGAGACGTTCCATCTCCATCGGTCTTCTTTGTGATAGATGTGGATATTTCTTGTTTCTTTGCTTACATTGCTAAAATATAAACAATAAGTTAATTTAAGATTATATGAAAGTAAATACGTAAATAAACTTTTTGATTTTCATCAAGAAAGCGAGGTTTTTTGGTGGTTCACGAAGACCTCCTTCAAACGGGGAGACTTTTTGGTCGGTGGTTCACGAAAATCTTCCTTAATTTTCTTTTTAAAGAAATGTTGAGAAAGATGTTTGTGAACCATCCACTAAACCCCGTTTAAATGATCCCATCCCATTAAGAATCTGTTTAGAATGAAAATGCTCTCAACTTACTTTTAGTTTCATTAATTGTCTGAAGGCACCGACCATTAAAATCATAATATCCTAAGCCTTAAACTAACAATAAGAAATGTGTCTTCCTTTGAAAGAGCGGCGCTTCATCGTACGAGACGTTGGAATGAAGATACGCGACATGATGACAATTTTTAGTCTCGGAAATGACTGATGTACCCGAATTAAACAGTATACATAGCGACTATATCCCAACATATTTCTCTTAACACAGAAAAATTATTTAATTACAAAAAAAGTATGAAAGAAATCACGTAGTAAACTTATTCGGTGGCCTTTCTCTAATTTGATTGTGTTAAGAGAAAATTTTTGGGGTATTATTAGTTTGAATTGTTTTTTTGGTTGTGTTAAATAAACTGCAAAATTATCCGACTCCTTCTAAATCATAATTCTAATGCATAGTATAGTTTCCATTGATCTCCATATTAGTGCCAAAACACGGTTTTTCATATTACTGGTCAATTTCACGACAAGTTCATTGTGAAAACAATTCTGTTCATTTACCAACCACCCAAATTTGAACCCACTAGCAATTATATTGCCAACTGTAGTAGTGATTACCATTAATTTATACATGTAAATAAAAAGTTTTAGTACAAGTGACTCTTGTTATAGTAAAGGCATCCGGACTATTAGTAAAAATTTACTATATCGAGAGTTTATTAGTAAATTTACTATAACGAGAGGATTTATTATAGACTACTTTGAACTGAACTCAATTTTCAATTAGTCTTTACTATATCAAGAGTTTACTATAACGAGAGTCATTTGTATGTCGCGGTATATAGCAATATAATAACAACTAGTGTTATCAATCGATAATTGGTTAATCGATTAGTTGATTAAGTTGACAACTAATCGATTATAGTTTTTTAAAATTAACTAATTGATATTGATCAACTAATCGATTAAACAACTAATCAATTAGTTGTTTAATTGATTAGTTGATCAATCGATTAATTGATTAGTGTAACAAATATAACCAATTAAAATCATTTGCTAATTGTAATAATTCATTATTCGTTATGTCTGATACTTTTCTTTCTACCTCTTCATTTACAAATGAGGATTATGATACATATATTATAGATCAAACAGAAGATGAGTCATATATTTCTAATGATATTGAACAATCTTTAGAATATGAAGATTCTGAAACTCCTAACAAAAGAAAGTCTAGTGGAAAAATGCAAAGTTTTGTTTGGAAATTTTTTGATTTTTATTATGCACCAGCATCTGATGGAACTTTCACAATCAAACACGTAAAATGTCTTTTTAACAATTGCAAAACTACTTATTCTTGACTTGGTTCAACAAGTAATTTAATTGGACATTTACGAGATTCTCATCATGTAACAAAATTAAGCTTGAATCAACAAACAGCTGAAGAAATTATGAAAAATACTCAAACAACAATTATTGAATATTTACAACAACCACATGGTCAAAAACAACAACATTATTTAGCACAATATCTTTTAAAACTAATTTTCGCCTATACGCTTCCTCTTTCAATTGTCAACAATACTGAATTCAGGAAATTTTGTCATGTTCTTGATTCTAGATTTCAAGTTCCTGGTGTTGACGCTCTCAAAATGATGACTTTTAATGTGCATGATTGGACTGTTAATCTTATTAAAAGTAAAATTACTGAAACTGCAAAATACGTCGCACTTACTTTGGATATTTGGTCATCTCGTGCTCATGATGCTTATCTTGGTATTACTTGTCATTGGATTACACCAGAATTTACATTATATGAAGTTGTTCTTGATATAATTGATTTTCCAGAAGCTCATACTGCAACAGAAATCATCACCAAACTCGAATTACAATTTACAAAGTTCAATTTAACTCAAGAAAATATTGTAAGTATTACTAGTAATAATAGAAGTAATGTAAAAGCAGCCATATCACAATTACAAATTACAAATATTTTTTGTGCTGCTCATACATTACAACTCAGTGTAAATACTGGTCTTTCTCATGCAAATTCTATTATAACCAAAGCAAAAAAGCTAATTAGTAATTTGAATGAAGATAAAAAATGACATCAATTAAGAGAGACACAACGGCAACTCAATCCAGATATTAAAAAATCACTGGATGTTATAAAAGATGTTGAAACATGATGGAATTCAATATTACATGCTATTCGACGATTGATTCAGTTACAACCTTCAATTAATCATCTTTGTAGTACTCTTCAAAATCATGTTTCAAGTGTTGTTCAACGAGAAGGTAAAATATTAAGAAGAAATCTGCTTTCTGCTAAAGAATTTAGTACATGTGCTGAACTTGTTAATATTTTGGATCCATTTGATGATGTTACTGAAATGTTAAGTGGCTCGAAATATCCAACTTTAGGTGTTGTAACACCAGCAATTAAGGAGCTTGAGCGACGACTTAGTGCATATGAAACTGAAAATGAAATAATTCTTGAAATAAAAAATACCATTCTTGAAAATCTTAATCAACGGTGGGGTACTCCTTCTGATCTTGGATTGTATGGATCTTTTTTTGATCCTCGTTTTAAAAAATTACTCTTTGTTTCTAATGTAAGTATTTATTCAATATATTTTATATATGCTAATATACTAAAAAAAATAATTATTTTATATAGGGAGAACGACGCCAAATTATTGATGAACTCCGATAACAGTATGTTGAACTTTTAGAACCAGTTCCTCTTTCTATACTATCTGTTTCCCATCCTGCTTCAACATTAACTGAACCTACTAATAACAAAAAGTCAAAAATGCTTTCATTCTTCCATTCATCTGCTGAGGAAAATGAAAATGAATCAAATGAGTTTGACCGTTATCTGGATCAGCCACAATTACTAGCAACTGAAGAAAATAATCCACTTGATTGGTGAAATGTAAATAAATTAGTATTTCCTACGTTGGCAAAACTTATCAGAAAGTATTTAACAATATCTGCTTCATCTGTACTGTTACAAGTTTGTTCACTAATCATTAAATTAGCTTACAAATGAGAACCTGGATTGGGAGAGGATATAAATTGATAAAGAAAATATTAAAAAGAAAAGAGGGGTATCTAAGGCCTATGCCAATTTCTACGGAAATTGTGTTTACTTGAAAAGAGATAATAATATGGGAGAGTTGTGGGAGAGTAAAG